GGCTATTTATATTCTTATCCAGAGCAACTATCATCAACAGTTTTGTATCATGAACATCCGTAGCTTTAGCTGCCCACACACAGTGCGTATGGAATTAACCAAGGGAAGTCCTGTGTACTGTTGACTCTTCTGTCCTAACATTGTCACATATAGGTGTAGTTACCAACCTGGAGGGTAGATCTACTTCTGCACTAAGGGCTTCAAGTTTCCTGCAGCTCTTTGAGCATTATTCCAGTCTTGCCAAACATCTGGGCAAAAAAGAAGTCAGACTGCACTGAAAACATTGGTCCAAGGAATTTGGTTCCGTCTGCCACCCTAAAACTAAAATCCAGGAATCAGCAACTTAACAAAAATGCAGTAAATTAGCACCTCTAGACAAGAGCAGAGTTCATTCAGAGCTGAGGTCTGCCTGGCTGAGCCAGTACTCTCTCCATTTTAATAGTTTAATAAAAATTAGCATAATTAACGAACATCTGTATGATCCAGAGTGGTGCAATTTGGCACTTGGAAACGAGGGCTTAAACATGATTGCTGTGAGTTTAATGTTGTTTTAATTCTTTTTGGCACTGTGCAGTGAAATAAACGTTTGGTGGTGATAGTTCTCGGCCGGATCTCATTTGCATTTTTCTCCCTTTGATTATGAGCAATTGTGGACTCCCCAGCAATTCATCAAAGTAGAAATTATTTTAAAATACCTCGTGGTGTTCAGGCTGGGCTAGAGCAATGCATGGGGGGTGATAGTGGAAGAGAAAGCTAGAAATTTTCCATTCATGCTTTGAACATCTCAGCCCTGCAGTCCTTTTTGGGTATCCAGCCAGGGGATAAAATCTGGAAAAGACAGTTGGATCTTTAGACCTGTAGGTGCTTTGATTAAACTCCCAAAGCTCCCACAGCAGGAGACATATGGTCTTTGAGACTGTGCCATCTCCTCACACTTCTGCCACCTCTTTTGTTTTGAAGGACAGAGAGCTGACAGCCCTAATACCAGTTCTTACCACTGTGATGAAACTACTTTGTCTGCAGTAGGCATGGTCAATACTCCACTCAAACAAGAGAGACCTGACTGAGGACTCAGGCTTTGCAGATATCCTGCAAAGTTTTCATCTGCTTCCTATGTATACCCTCAAGTTGGCAGAGAGGATTTCCCAAGATGCCAGTCCCTACTCTTGATGTTAATGCTCAAGGGAAATGCTTCAAAATACAAGTCAAAATTAGGACCCTAATTGGTCCCTCACTAAGAAGACCTTCAATTACATGGATAGACAGAATGGCTTCAACAATGGTCTCAAACATAGCAACAGTTGTGAAGATGGAGCAGGTCTGGGCAGTGTTTCATCCTGTTGTACAGAGAGGGTCACGATGAACTGGAACCTGCTCGAAGGCACCTACCAAGAGCAGTCATTCCCCACGGCCCCTGCTGGTGATGAACATCACAGCATCTGGCAGGTAGACCACACTTCATACCTGTTTAAACAAGCTGACTTTCCTCAAAGACTGCCAGGCAACTACAGAAAAGCTGAAGCTGGTTGTTTTGTTTTGGTTTGTTTTTTAGTTACAGTAGAAAGGGAAGATGAAGTATTCATTTCTCCTTCCGAGCAAGGCCCTATAGGCATGGATGTTCCAGCAATGTGGTAAGCGCAGACAGCAATGTAAGAAAACTTAAAGCAGAAACTCCCTTAGCTTCTTGACTTCAGTATTGGAAAACAGATGACACCATAACCTGAACCTGGAAGAATTTTAAAACATCCTGATAAGTTGGACTAAGGAATTCTGGCTGACTATTAAGCAGTGCAGACTGGAGGGGTGGGGGGTGATGGTGGGATGCTGTCCTAGCATGTGAAGTAAATGAAAAGGTGGATATACAGATCAGAGGAGGCGGGGTAGACACATTTATTTATTTATTTAAGACTGATTTTAAGAAGATAATTCTTAGGTCTTTTAAAGATCTCACTTCTTGTGGCATTTCACACTCATGTCATAGTATTCAGGGACCTTTTGGGGAAGATGGTCTCCAAAGGCAGTTGCTCTCTTCCTGCCACAGCCAGTTCAGTTACCAAGGGAATATCTTGGAGTTGGATGTAGCTAAATCTGCTCAAGTGAGAGTATTAATCCCCACTGTTCCCTTAATTTCTTCATAAACTTCACTTGAGATACTTACTTGTCCTCCCTCCGTGCTAAACCACAGCATAGAAAACCAATGAGGTCCCACCCTCACAGATCATTCTGACTGGTGACTGAGATGAAGGCAGAGAGATACACAGACTGTGGACCATATAGCCAAAGTGCTCTACTCGGGCATAGCACATCAAGGAGAGGCTTCCAGAGCACAAGAGACCTAGGATTGAAATATGGCTGCTGCTTATGAGCAAGCCCCACAAAGGGTAGAGGGAATAAAAAAGCTAACCAGACAGCAGAAAGTTTCTGAAGTGAGAGCCAGTGGGCCATGAGAGCAACTGAAAGCAGCTTTCTTCTACTGAAAGTAAAAGAAGTTGGGGGATGAGTAACTCTGCTAATGACAGGAGCCAGGTCACACAGGGCCATATACACCAAAAAAACGTTGACTGCGGACAGCAGAATTTCAAGCAGAGTGATATTGTCCATGTGTGTTAGCTTCCTAAACTGGAGGGACCAAGAATAGAGATACAGAGGCCAATTCAGAGGTTGTTTCTGTAGTCATTTATGAAGATGACAGTGACATTCCATAAGGTATTGGCAGTGGAAATGGTGGACACATTTGAGGAATATTTTGGAGAGGCAAACAGTAGGACTTGGGAGTTGACTGGAAGAAGGAAATGAAATCAGGGAAAATTCCTGAGTTTCTGACTTGGGTAACTGAATATAGTGGTATCAGACATTGAGATAACAAGCACAGGAGGTGAAGATTACTTGAAAATAAAGATTAGAGTGGGTGCAATGGGTTGAATTTAGGACATACGTACGTAATCTGTCACATGGATAACTGGTGATCCATCAGAAATTGATGATGAGCAAACACGTAACAATCAGAATACACAAAAAAATATTTTTCTGGTACTTTTAGCAACAGTCATAACAATGTTCAACTAGTGTTCTTCCTAAAAGCTTTTCTGTGTCCAAAGGCCATGTCCTCAACACTGTGGGACCAGCCCTTCTTTTAAACCCTTTCAGTCCCTTTCTTCTTTGTTCCTCCCTTGTATCTGGTGGTAGAGTACATTGGGTATTGAGCTGCTCACTGGAAGTCCTAAAGTTCAAATCCACCAGCTGTTCTGAGGGAGAAAGGTCAACAGTCCCTTCCTGTTAAGTTTCTTGTTTTTTCTTTAAATGCTATCTCTGGTGCCGTGGCCTCTTCTAAACCCAGTTTAAACTTCTGGCAGTTCCCTGTTAGTGTACTCTTCTAGCCACTTTGGGATAATCTGCAGCAGCAGTTTTTCAGAGGCAGTTAATTACATGAGAGGAGATTCCTCATCATTCTTCTGTGGAGCAGTTTGTGGTTTTGAACCACATACCATTTTGCACATTACCAATTCACAATTCCTTACCACTAAGCTACCATTCCATAGTCTTCGCAGTCACTTGCTATGCGTCAGAGAGCTGGACAGTGACTACGGATGATAAAGAATTGATACTTTTGAACTGTGGTGCTGGAGAAGAGTGTTGAATATACCATGGACTGCTAGGAAAACAAACAGGTTTGTCCTAGAGAGGGTGAGACCAGGCTGCTCCTTGGAGGCAATGATTCTGAAGCTCCATCTGGCCTACTTTGGACATGTTGCAAGGCAGGGCCAGTCCTTGGAGAGGGACATCATGCTTGGGAGGATAGAGGGACAGCACAAGAGAGGAAGGCCCTCAATGAGATGGATTCATTCAGTCAGTGTGGTAATGGGGGTAGGTGTGTCAGAGACAGTAAGGTTGGCACAGGATAGAGCAGGGTTTAGGGCTCTTGTACATGGGATTACTATGAGTCACAAGTGACTCAACAACACATAAGAACAACAACAACAAGCCACCATTCAAGGCATTGATTAGTACTGTTGTTGTTGTGTACCATAGAGTTGGAACCAACCCATAATTGACCTTCTGGTGGGTTTTTCAGAGGCAGTTAATTGCACGGGAGGGGATTGCCCATCCTTTTCATGTAGAGCAGCTGGTAACCTTGAACCACATGCTTTTGGGATTGCAGCACAGCTTCTTGGCACTAGGCCACCAGAGCTCCACTTCCTGTTAAGATTTAGAGCCTCAGAAACCCAACAGAGGGTCACTATGAGTCAGGACTTGATGGCAGAGAACTGTTATTGTCATTATTGTTGTATCTCCCAGCCCGCCATCTCTTCCCAGGTTGGAGCTTAATGTTTAGGCCACCTACTATGTACCAGCTTTTCATTGTTTTCACTTCTATGGTGTCACTTATCTTCCCACAACATGGGGAAAGAAGGATATTATCCCTGCTCTCACAGATTAGGAAGCTAAAGCTAGGAGAAATTAAGGCCACACAGCTACTAAATGATCGAGCAAGGATAGATCCCAGTCTGTCTGACTCCAGAGCCCATTATTAGATGTAAGTTCCCAGGGAACAAACATTGTTCTGATCCATCATTATATATCTCATGGGAACTCAAACAGCACTTTGCACGAAAGAAGATGCTTGGTAAATATTATTGATTTGAACTAATACCTCGCCTCCCTCCTTCCCCGGATATCTTCAGTGTTCTGACATTTTAGGATGAACCCACTTTCTCCAGGCCTCTCCGCTTGGTGAAAGAAAGACTCTAGGCTTAGTAGTGGCATAAACATTTGTTCTGTCTGTGCTGAGCTTTCAGTGTAGACAGGAAGGTGACAGAATGAAAGCATAGTTTGCTTTCCTCCTCTAGATGATTTTTTATTAATAATCACATCAGGGTTATTAACAATTTATACCCCTGGTGCCAGCAAAGAAACCACCCACCAAAATCTTCCATGTCCTAGAGAAGATTAATGGACTCATGACCAAATTCTAACTGAACCAATCTCTTTTCATTTTTTAGGAGTATAACATGCACGGCTGGTGGGTAGGAGAACTGAACAGCCTTGTGGGGATTGTGCCAAAGGAGTATCTTACCAGTGCCTTTGAAGTGGAAGAAAAATGAAGCGCAGGTATCAGAACCATTGTCAGAAATAGCCCTTAGGTGAGTAGATTTGCCAGTCATGCCTTTGTCTCTTTGGGAAAGATGAACATATCAGTGAAGCCTTTCTTCAATTCTAAAAGTGATGCTGATAATTCACCACTGAAAAAAGGAGGGACTGGTCCTTGGAGAGGGACGGCACAGGAGAGGAAGACCCTCGATGAGATGAATCGATTCTGTGATCGGGGTGGTGGGAATGAGTGTGTCAGAGATGGTGAGGTTGGCACAGGATAGAGCAGTGTTTCGGGCTCTTGTACATAGCTATGAGTCGCAAGCGACTCGACGGCACATAACAACAACAACCATTTTTCCTATATGAGGAGACTGTATTGTTTAGGATTAGAATCAACTGCAAGTGACAAAATAGCTCACTAAATTAGAAATTTGTTTTTCTCTTCTGTGAAAGTCTTGAGGTGAGTGGTTTGAGGTATCCAGGTTCTCTCTCTCCTCTTCTCTTCTCTTCTCTCCTCTCCTCTCCTCTCCTCTCCTCTCTTCTCCCCTCCCCTCCCCTCCCCTCTCCTCGCCTCTCCTCCTCTCCTCTCTCCATTATGTGTGGCTAGCATTTCTAAGGTGGCCTTATGGCTCAATATGGATGGCTTCCGCTCCAATCTGTAGTCTGCCCAGTGTTGTTCTGTGCTGTTGAGATGGAGCTGACTCAGAGCTGACCTTCCAGTGGGTTTTCAGAGGCTGTCAACTTACAGGAGGAGACTGCCCATCTTTTTCTTGCAGAGCATCTGGTGGATTCAAACTACATTCCTTTGGGTTTGCAGTGCAACTCCTTACCCACCACTCAATAGAAAAAATAAAATTCAAGAAGATGGACTCACTTGCCATCTCCCTTTTAGAGCACTTCACAGATGCATACACTGTTTTCAGTTATATCCCAGTGGGAAGAAGTTGCACAGAGTCACCAATTTGCAAAGAAAGCTTTATTCTAGGTAGCCGTGTGTCCTGCTTAGAAGTAACAGTTTGGGGGTGGTGTAGTCATTGTTATACAAAAAGGGGGAAATGGATGTTGGAGGATATCTCAGTCTTTGCCACAGAATGGATGAGATTCTTTATCCAAGCTTTCAAATACACTTCTCTATGAGAGGAAGACCCTCTATGAGATGGATTGATTTAGTGACTGGGGTGATGGGAGGTGTATCAGAGACAAAAAGATTGGCCCAGGATAGAGCAGGGTTTAGGTCTCTTGTATATAGGGTCACTGTGAGTCTCAGGTGACTCGACTGCATATAACAACAACATTACAGTATGACTGGCCAAGAGAGGAATCCAGTGTGAGACCATGGAATATAATGAACTAACTCTTATGCAGTTAAGACTATGGCACTATGGTACAAGCTTTATGAACAAGGACCAGGCTGCGCTTTTGAAATCAGTGTGGGAGTGAGTGCTTGGCTTGAATGGGGTTACAGTGGGAGTCATTTTGGTACAAAATGGGTTTTGCTTGAAATTAGGATTGTAATGAAGTGTACCCAAGGCTAGCATGATGTTGTTAGCTCCATCTTCTGGTCTGAATTGGAAGCAGCCTTTATTGCTGGGGATGAAGGATAACATCAGTATGACAATGATACAAATTGTCCTTGGAATCTTCCACAGCAGAAGCTACTCTAGTGTGCAGCAGCTGAGTGAATTCATTTAGGAAAATACATAAGGATAGATCTGACTCTCTGATGCCCTTGTCCAACCAGAAAGAATGCTCAGCCTGGCACTCAAGATTTGACTTTATGTGCTTTTCCCAGTCAACACTCCGCTGCTTCACCATGAATGCAGAAGGGCTGGAGGTTTTCTGTCAAATCTAAACAAATCCAATCTATATCACTTCGTTGTTTATTTAAGGCTGTTTATCTCTACATTTTATTTGACCCACCAATTTCATGTTTAAGAACCTCTGGTGATATAGTCCATAGTGTGTTGTGCTTTTAACTAATTTCATGTTTAGGAATTTATTTTACAGCTTTACTTGCATATGAGAAAAATGACATATACAGAAGGTTATTAATTTTTAATAGCAAAAGTTTGGGAATGACTTAAATGTTGACCAAAGACCTAGTCAAATAATTGTAATACATTCACTGAGCTGAATACAATGCAACAGTAAACAAGAAAGGAAACTGACAGAGATCTTATTCTGAGATATGTTGGTAAATAGAAACAAAAAAAGCAAAGACATTAATCTGAACCATTCATATAAAACTGGGTGGAGACTATCTATGCACATTTTATTTCCTATGTGTGTGTCTGGAAGGAGAAGTAATAAAAACAGTGCCTTTGATTGCCTCCAGAAACCAAAAACCTCGTGACTATGAAACAGTAGGAGGGAGATTCTTTACTCTGTGCTCTTTCATAGTTTATATTTTAAACCATAAAAGCAAAGTTCTTTCTTTTCCGTCTTTAGGATGCATAGTCTTCTCTCTCTTCTGCTTTCCTGAAGAAGCTGACCTGCATCAGGAAGCTCTGTGCCCTACTCCCCCTGCCCACCTCCAGCTGCCTCCACCATGGCCGTGGACTCCTCTCTATCAAAGAGAGAGACTCCAGTAAGACAAGTGGAAAGAGAAACATACGTGAAACCTGCTACTTAATCAGACTCATAGCTCTTTCTCATCTCTAAGCATATTCACACCTCTACTTCTGCCGTATCCACTGGGTTGTCACTGAGACGATGATAGAAAGAGAGGAAACTCGGAGAAGGAAGTTTCTGGTTATTTTGACTGGTTTGAAAAACAGAAATAAACTTCACATTTGGTTCATTGCCACATCTAATGGTATTGAGTCACTCTTTTTTGTGGTATCGAAATTTCGTTCCTGCAACCTCCTAAGTGGTAAAGGATGGCCAGGGAGAAACAGAAGGCCCCACAGAAGAGACTTGTGATTGTCTATCAGGGGCAGATCCTTTGTAGAGCCCAGACCTGTCTGGTTTCTGGTCAATGATTAATAAATTGGTTCTCCTTTTTCTTGTGCTCTGAGTCTCTCTCAGAAACAAGGCAGGGCCAGAAGCACATCCTTGGGGTCAGCACGTTGGAGAGTTCCTTTGCAGCCTGTGTTAACAACCTCACTATGCTCACCAGCTGCTCCAGTAAAGATTACAGCCTGGAAAACCCTTATGAGACAGTTGGACTTTGTCATCTGGTGTTGCTATGAGTTGAAACCGATGCTATCTGACAACTATAAGTCCCATGCCAACTTCATCCCAGGAGGAAACTGAAGAAGTGCTTGAGCCAAACTCCTGCCAATACAGCCCTGTTTCTCTTTCCCATTGCCTGCACCTAACTCTTAGGTTATCTGCAGGTTGAAGAGGCAGCATCATATAGTATTTACAGAGACAAATGTGGAATTAGACAAAGCGGGAATAAATCTTACCTCCTTGTTTACCAACTTGATGTTCCCTGGAGCAGGTTACTTAACCATTTTATGCCTCAAGGAGGCATCTAGTAGCTGCTGTTACTAACTGACTCTCTATACAGACATTTTAAAAGCTGAGTAACTAAGTAGCTATAGAAATGTTACCTCTGAAATTGCCTATTCAGAATAGTTCTGGACTGTCAATTGTATTTATCACCCATGCAATACTCATCAGATAACCCTAGAATAAGACACCCATCCCACATCATCAGAAGAGAAACCGAGCAGTAAACAAGAATGTTCAGTGGACTCTCCAAAGATCTTCTCTGTGAATTATTCATTTCTACATTTTCTGCCTCAAGGGTTTAAAAAAAAAGAAGTCTTCCTTATGCATATGGTGGAGAAAAGGTCATAAAGAGTGGAGAGGAACCTGTGCCTAGGAAAGGGGCTAGGAGGAAAGGCAATATAGAACTGTCCCGTGTCTCCTCCACTTTACAGAGTGCTAAAGGAGAAGGAACCACTAGGTGGCAGCATATGAGCAGATGAACCAAAGAAAGCCAATTACCCCTGGTTTTAAAAACCTACAATCCCAACGTACAGGTAAGGAAAATGGGCACTGTTCTAAAGTATTTCGCACAGATAGCAAGTAGAAGGGAGCACTGATGGCTTAGTGGTAAGAAGCTGTGCTGAAATCCCAAAAGCACACGGTTCAAGGCCACCAGCTGTTCTTTGGGAGGATGGGCAGTCTCCTTCCTTCCCCACGATTAAATGCCTCTGAAAACCTGCTGGAGGGTCAGCTGTGGGTCGGTCTCCACTCAACAGTACACAACAACAACAACAAGCAAAAGGCCCTCTGTCTCCCTCTCCCCCCCAGAGTAACCCACAGAGACCCAAATATGGAGGGCTAGGTGGCTAAGAGGACAGAACACCATTATATATCACCACTCTGTGAGTGAGAATTCATCAAAAAGGGGGATACCACGAGAAGGGCAGGGATCTAGGTCAGGGCCAGAAGGGTTGAAACCTGCCCATTCTAAGTCGCCCTAATTTCCATGAGAATAGGCTTCCTCAAAACAAAATCCTCTTAGAACAAGAGTCGTTGTGCCCTGTTGAGTCAATTCCTACTCACAGTGACACCATGAGTGTAATGGACCCTTTTATACCTATAAATAAGGAACTCTGAATGTCAGGCTGCTAGCGGGAAAGATGGGTAGTTTAAAATCACTAACTACTGGAGAAATAGGGACAGGCCCCTCCTATTCCAGTTACAGCCTTGGAAACCCAGTGGAGGATGGTCATGGGTTGGAATTAACTCAGTGGCAATGGGTATGTCTGTAAGCAGAGAAGACAGTTGTTTGTCAAACTGCAAACATCTTCCAGCACTTCTCTCCACCTCAGAGTAGGCACCACACTCAGCTATGTGGACTCCTCTGGCTATAAAGCTTAATGTAAAAGGCAATAAAATCTACCCTAAAATATATACAAAGACGGGCTTATTGGGAATCTAGTCTGCAGCCATTTTAGATGCAGGAAAAGACGAGGACGTTTGATGGGTGGCTGATGAGATTCTACAAGCAGAAGGACATTCTTTGTTAGAGGAAACGGAGGCTGTTTAGAAA